AATATTGTTTCCTGTTATTACTGAAGCATCAGCTATTTTTTTCTCAAAGTTTTCGATCAACGCTATACAGCTGTCTTTATTTCCTTCACTCATCAATTTCACTTCACCAAGTTTATAAATTTGTATTAGCTTTTGTTATTTCTATGTTGTGTTCAAATCTGTGTTCGCAGATTTTTTTATTTTGTGTTGTTGTTTATCTGTGAACATGAACTGATTTTATGAACTTTTACTGTCGATGGTGTTAGTCTTCAAAACTGAAAATAGAGTATTTCTGGAATTTTCTATTTCTATTGAATTCTCGGCCAATTTGCAATTCAAGCAATCAAATTATCTTAATACTGACAATTTTAAGTATGGTATCTGTAATTCTCCTCCAGCACGATTCTATTAATTATGAATTTTACTCCTTATAAGTCTTCAAGCCTGACACTAATGCAAGAAGTGATTGGCTTCATATTTTTCTCAAACATATATTGGGAATAATATTTAGAGCCTCGTGAGAGATCGTATTCATAATTGAGATATGTCATAATTATTCATAATTGAGACATGGCTGTGAACTCGCGCGGTGTAAGTAGGCGCAGTTTTTCCTTTAGACGCCGACGTTCAAAGGCAACCCGGAAAAAAAGTCTCGACAGGCGTCGAAGAAGCTCTCTTTTTACCTGCCAGCGACCGTTCACTACAAAGGTTACCTGATTTAATTATGTTGAGATCAAAAGGCCTCTAGCGAACCAATAGAGCTTAAACGTCCGGAACGTCACTGTGAGATCGCCGCCCCCTCCGCCGCAGAGCGTCCATTGAGATAATGACATTTTTCTGATCTTCGATATATTTCGGCGGCAATTGCTTCATATATATACGGCACGGTAATTGCTTCGTATATAGCGTGTCACGGAATGGCCGTGTTCATTTCCCACAGTGTTTCATTTTTGTGCAGCCACTAAAAAAAGCTATCATTCATCGAGCTTTGAGAACTTCGTTCTTATCCTAGACTTGAAAGTTTTTATTTAAAAATTTGGTAAAAATTTTGTAAGAGAATGTTTATTTATTTATTCGTTATTTTTTCGCATTTTGGGTTAATTAGCTTTATTTTCGGACGAATAACATCGATATCTGTGCTGGAATGTTCAAAGATTCGATTTTATTACCGCTTTTTTCCGTACCAAATCGTTTACTTGCATTACCTTCAAGCGAGGGATTTTTGTTTTGACTAATTCGAAACATTCAGTATCACCAGCTAACAAATTTTAAACCAGCTCCGAGTTACTTACCAAAGTCATTGCCCTGAAAGGTAAATTGAAGAGAGTCAAATAAGAATCTTCGCTTGACTAAGCATGCTTGTTGACTTGGACGATCAGAAGCAGGGCTTAATTCCGGCCTGTTGGCTCTCAATCATTCCTGTCGGTGCACAGCCTATGATTTCTGGCGAGAAATTGAGGACTGAGTTCAGTCTATTGAAGATTGGTTTTGCCTGAGTTTCTGATATAATTAGAGTAAATGTCTCTTCTGTATTTATATCATTAGAAATCCTACGAGCTTCGGTATTTATTTAATGTTTTTAAACACTAATATTCTTCTGCGAGACTTCAAGTAAGGCTAATGTGCTGACACGCTACTTCTGGATGTATCAAGTAAGTATGCAACCATTAAATTGTATGCTATTTTGACATGTGTCGTTGAAGACGTTAACGCATTCGAAATTCTCGAATACTTGCATAATCCATTATGTAAGTCGGAGTCACGTTAGCTCTTCGTCAGACCTTTTGGTCAAAGCCTCTGCGTGGGCATTAAAGTATGCTACTGCAGAGACCGGCTGCTGCTTATGTCACTGCTATTTATTAGCTTCGCCTTTGTTCGGTGCTAATGAAGGTGATGTGTTGCGGCGGCAGCAACTTGCTGCCCAGAAAGCTGCAGGTTGCCTAACATGTGCCAGCTGTTCAGGCGCTATAATGTCGCTCCCTCTCGTCATATCAACGAGCCTTGCTGATGAATGGCCTTATAATTCAGAGTTTATTAGCGGCTCTCGCTGTGATTTTTGTCACTCTCATCTCTGGGACCAGCCCCAGGCGAGCATGATACTTTTTCTTTTGCTGGTTTCAGGCCTGCTTGTGGACGAAATCTCGAGTTATCGCTCATGATGGATAGTTTGGTTCGCAAAAGATGTTCAACTGGAATCCTTTCGTTTAGCAAGACATAATTACTAATTGTATTCCTCATTTATTCTATTATTTTTTTTATCTTTGCCAATGAAGGATTTTTTTCAAGTCATCGCAACGAAGCTCCATTATAGACTCCATCTGTTGGACTCACAGAAGCATTGCATAGAGACCACTGTTTTCAATGCGTGAGTGCTTGAAGCTTCCGCGGCGCACGCAGTATTTTTAGGGGCGCTAGGCTAAGCCGATGTACCCTAACAAAATTTAGAGTCGCCCCAGCTTCTGGTATCCCAAATCGGAAGCTGCCGCGTCTGTAAATTTTCACTGGGATATTTCCCGGCCTAACAAAATTTAGAGTCGCCCCAGCTTCCGGTATCCCAAATCAGAAGCTGCTGCGTCTGTAAATTTTCACTGGGATGTATTGGTCGGTCCGGGGGCTGGGAAGCGCGCAGCAATTAGCGCGATGGCAGCATAGACGCGTCCTCCGAGACCTGCCTTCAAAGTTTGTGGTAGGCACGACACTCGGCCTTTCATTCTCTCCGCTCCCTTTTTACCGGCGTGTAACTCCCCAAAATTGTATTTAATGCCACGTGGCACGAGACCGTATTGGATGCTGCCGAACAACTGAACAAAAGGAAATGCAATCGTAATTTATCCGTGCTCTATAAGACTTCCATGCGTTGACTTCTCTGCGTTGGTGACATTCTATAGGATACTGCCGTGTATATGTGTTAGTATATTATATGTTACATTTTCCGCGCAGTAAGGTCAGCCATCAACCTGCAATGCATATGTTTTATGGAATTTGTCACGTATGAATTTTTGTCCTTTATAGAGGGCTATATCATTTCTTCTAAGTACTGTTAGAATATATTAGTTATTGATTGTACTGGTCAAGTATCGCTTTGCTTGCCTTTATTGCTTTATATTTATTTATTTTTGCCTTTCGTTATTGCTATGCAACTAATCTTGCTTCGTTAACGTGACAAATGTTCCTTTCTGAAAGCTCTCTTTGCCCCTCGTATTTTCCATCCTGCCTAATTCGGTATTCAGACTTACTCTTTAATTGAATCCATCAAGCATGTGTGTTGAAAATGTATTGAAAATTTGAGGCCGAATTTTCATGGCGTTATGAATAGTTCATTCTACAGCGCCGATATGTAACATACCGTACATACTTTTTTCCGATCTGCAGATTATCTCTGTTTTACTGCTGCTATGATTTACAGTTTTCACATTGATATTGTACTCTTTAACTTTCTACTCTTAACTATGTGACTGAAATAGTCTTAATAGGAAACTGCGTGATTGCTTGCGTCTATAGTACTAATCATTGAAGCACAACTGACTTCGATATGGTATCGTGGTATCTTTTACCTGATGCTGAAATAGTCTTAATAGGAAACTGCATTATATATGCTCTTGTCAGTAGTACTAACCATTGAAGCACAACTGACTTCGATATGGTATCGTATATACCTGATGCTAACTGAAACTTTTATATTTACCTCAGGTTCTAGATTAGTTTTCTAATTACTTCAGAGGCACAAAACGTTTGTCGATACAAATTCAAACGTTAGTGTGCATTCAATTATGCAGTGTTAAGGGAAGATATTCTACTGTGTTGTTTCTTAAATTCCAATTCCTTATCGTGAGCTCCCTATATATATGTATTACATTAGAACATATAGATATGTGTTAATTTTTACGTCACAAATTCGGGGTAACATTCGATGAAAACGGATGATTTATTATCAGTTACTTCCGTCGCATACTTAATTTTGAATCCAGAAATTTAGTATTGATAAGCTAAAGTCACAGCCATCCGTCCTATGGCCCTGTAATACCCCGTTAACTATCCAGTGACACGCTCAAATTTGTACTTGACCTTCGTAATTGATATCAGCTCCTTTAAAAAGTTTTCATAAAGGCTAGTAGACGACCTAAGTTTGCTCTTAAGAAATATTTGCCAGTATTATAGTCTTAGGATCTAATAAATCTCAGTGTCCGGTGTTTGGTGTATTAAGAGTGTCAAATAATTATATAGTTGTTGTTGTGCTAGCTTAGTTTTTCAAAAAGCTTATTTATATTCACTAAGTAGTGTTGTGTAGTGAAGTGTCCTTGTTGAAGTCTACGAAGTGATCTGAAAATGAGCTCAAAGTGACTTGAAAAGTGAGCGCTCGGGCCTTTAGTATGCATTCAATATTTCTTCGTTTTGTGTGCCAAGCATTTTTGTGATGGTCCTGGGTCACGTGTGATGCCAGCTCATCACACAAGTTCCAGGACGTGCAGCATCATCACTTCATCGCTGGCAGCATCATCACTTCATGCAGCATCATCACTTCACGTGCTCCGTTCGACGGGGGAAAATTTACTCGGTCAAGAAGCGACCCGACTTCACGCCATGAGTTCCATGTTGTTTCACCTGAAGCTTTCAAGCCACTGGCGTCACACACACCAATATACTCCTTTTTGATCTTCTCAAAATTTTCAGTTGCCTGAATCATCTTAACCCAAGCACAAATATGGCTTACGTTTCCATGAACTTTTATTGTCATTACCAACTTCTGACATATTCCTTTCGAAATTACTCACAACTACCTCTAAAATACTAAGTTTATACAGACGCATAACCTGTGTCTGAATATTCTTGCTACTTTCACACAGACAAACAAACATCCATAACGTGTTACCAGGGTTTAAGTTGCACAAGGAACGGTAAGTAGAATGTCATCGTTAGCGCTCCGGTCAAAGGTGGTGATGTCTCTCCTAAATTAGGGTGCATGTCTCTACATTTTGACCATCGTTCTAAACGGCGTTGTGTCTGTTCTCCTGACTCTGCAGATTGCAGCGAGTCTTCTGCTTCTCACTGCCAACAAACCACCCCGGCAACCCCAAAATTAGGAGTTGTGTTCTCATCCTCGGTGGACACTTTTCCACCATGGAGGCCCCAACTGGAGAGTCCAACTCCTCCTTTGGGAGCCGCTCTAACGAATGCGATGAGGCGGCTAGCCTCTGCAAGAATTCAAACAAAATCAACCAAAATGGTCGCACGTTTTGGGCGCGTGGTGCGTCCCTCTCAACTGCGAGAGAGACGCCCCGTGCGAGAAATTCCTATTTACATGAAACTCCTAAAAAGAAAACAGAGACGAAAGCTGGTCACTTTAAACGGTATCCGAATTATTTTGGAGGCCGGAGACATGGGTTGGTCCGCGGGTGGTTTGTCGTGGCAGTCTTGGCCGCATCCATGCTACACCTTGTCCTGCCTCTCAACTATGCAAGTAAGTCATTACCTTACAAAGTGTGGTTTTATTCTTATATATTAATGTGAATTATATGACAAATGTGGTGAAATTTGACGAATATTGTTCGAAACGGCAATGCAAATGGAATGCTATAAATCGAGGAAAATATTTTGATTGAAACTAGACAAAAGATGTCTTGGACGATCGGCTGACGGCTCAAGAATTCCTTTCATGGCTTCTTTGGACTTGTGTTTGGCCAAGTTTTGTTTTTTCTCCCCTGTAAAGGCTTATCGTCTTTGCAACGGAACAAATGACGAAACTTTCCCAGTAATTCCTCTCATATTCGTTTCACAGGTTGTTAACGCCTCTGATAAGACAAGTGTTCGAACAAAGTTGGTACACATTAGAAATGAATACGTCTCGTGAATAGCGAAGCTTAGATCAAATTTAGTGAAAACTTCGGCGCGAATACGCGACGGAAACTTGAGAATTTTCGGTAATATTACAGCCTCTATAGGCTACAGCCCCAAGAAATTTTGACGAATAGTGTTAAGCAGCGTAGTTGATATTTTTGTCAGCTGGATAATTAATTAATGTCGTGCTTGTTATATTGAACGCGTTGAGCTTATTTCTCAGATCTATTAACAAGTCCAACCTGATGCCAATTGCCAAATAATCTCCCTGGAGTTTGGTACGCCCTTGAGATAACTGTAAAATAAAAGTTTCAAAATGCGTGATGGTTTGTGTCGAGATAATCTAGTTTGAATATCATCGAAGAAATAGTTGTACTAAATGCTAGAGTTGTCCGGCGAGAAAGTTGCCCGAGTTCTGCAGCCCCGCGAATTGTGTTTTCTCCGGAGAAAATGTGGATGACTTAACGGTAAGTTTCCTCATCAGTCTAACACTGTCTGTTTTAAAACTGTGAACAATGTATTACCTCCACTAGATAGGTTGCACTTATCTTGATTAGAACGTGAGAATCTTATAGCACCAACTGTTGAAATTAACTGATGAAAGTGTATGTATCTGAACAAATGAGTAACGCTTCCGAATGATCGCCTTTGTAATTTGGTCACAAAGTGAAATGTTCTGCATTATTTAGCGTGGTTATGTCGATTCCGTCAAGCAGTCCATCAGTGAGAATCATCACTGATTCTCAATCATCACTTATTCTTATACTTTATCATTATTATATTTATTATATTATACTTTGTTATATTATACTTATACTATACTATACACCTTAGAAATCATCATTTATTCAAAATACCACATCATGGAGGTATTTTGAATAAGCTTGCGGCCTTGGGTGACGTGAGATTTGTGGGGGTATTAAGTTCAACGAAAATGACTTTATATCGATGCAATTCTGTTGCACTCGCTATCCTTTTTAGTTTTTGCCAGGTGTCGTGGCTGGTTATTTTTGATAAGCAATGAGGTGATTGAGGATAAACTTGCCTGTAAATTGTACTACATGGGTCTGGATCTATACTTTCAAAAAAAGTTAAGAGATCGTAAGTTCATCAGCCAATCATTGACGGCCTTTCAAGCAAAATCTACCAATCATAGACAAGAAAATAGACCGTAAGTACTTACGTTCACTTAGCGAGTTTTGAAAGTATGGCCCCTGTTCACTGTTAATTACGTTATTGCATGAGAACTCGCTCAAGGTTATGCAATTAAAATTCGTTCTAGGTACAACGATAGAAAAAAAATTATTTACTCCTTACTAATTATTGTTGAACCATAAACCCATTGTGTATTGTTTTATCAGAAGAACAATTTTGGCCAGACACTGAAAGTGCTTGAATGCAGCACCTTTAAAATAGTTGAGTAGTTTCTCGGGAAAAATTATATATCTGCCTAAATTCTCACGTGGGATCAGCAGCTGAGTTTGATTGAAAATTAATTTATGGTCTTTTAATGATACCTCGATATTTCACAAGCTCCTAAGCCTCCACTCCACTCCGCTTTCATTAGCTGTCATTATGTCCAATAGCTGAACTGATCGTATACGCCAGATTAATAAATCTGGTGCGAGTTGTCACGTGTAATCTCATCCTTTCTTAGAAAAACCGATCTTCGTTATTCTGCTGATCGATTATACGCTGAAGATATAGTATACGAGTACGTATGGATGTGATTTAGATCCAGACATTTTATCCATTTTAAGGTAATTGTTCAACTTAGATCTCTTTTATTCTTTGATTTAAGTTCATCTGTTTTGGATGCAGATATTTTATCCATTTTAAAGTAATTTTTATTTTAAATCTCTTTTATTCGTTTATTTTTGATTGAAGTCTATTAAGTTTGAATCATGGTTTATCGATTAGACTTTTAATTTCTGTGAAAATTTACCGCTTTTTGCCTTATAAATAGAATCCCAAGTGTGAAACAGGATTATAACTATAATCATACCCGTCACATTCGAACGATTGACTGAGTAAATGTTTGGTTTTGTTTCCATGGTTTGTGAATAAACAATTAAGGCTATGAAGTCCAAAATTTAACTAATTTCGCTCTCTATTTTTTTTTATTTGACACAACAGGACATGTCAATATATTTAGTCTTTCTTTCATCTGCATGCAATTTCAAAGCAGTATATATTTTTATTTTATCTCGCTAGCTCAAAGTACATGCCAAAAATATGCTAGCAGTTCTTGACTCAAAATAAGGTTGGCTTGTTCCTCGATATTTGTTTACTTCGTTCGTTGTAGTTTGTCTGTGGCATTTCGGATTGAAGTTTTATTTGGTCGCTGCGGAGTGTTTGTCCTGCCTCCTTGCGTCGCAGGGAGGCAACAATAGCAGAGGAGCAGCACGCGCCTTAACCCGAGTGTCTTCAATTTGTACTCCGGTCGCACAGAGGCTCCCGCGAAATTTCGATGAGTTTATCTCGGTATTTTTCCTGTTGCAAATTTATCTTTTAGAGTCCTTGTTATATTAGAGGTCTGCCCTGAAATTTCGTATTGTTTAATTATGGCATTACCAGTTGTCAGAACATTATTTTTGCTGCTGTACGCTTTGTTTTTTAACCGACAATCCAGTCGAGTATCCTGGTGTCTATGTTTTTTCTTACCATTATATACATACTAATCTAAGCGCTCTTGCATGAAAACACGAAGGTTTTTTCCAGTTTATATATAATTTTTTTATCAAATTCCCTGCTGACCATTGGAGCTCTTTTTCATTCAGAACTAATTTCGATAAATTTATTTTCTTTCAAATCTTCATATTCAATGGTCCATCTTCCATGTACTCGTATATATTTTACTAACCATATTGTAACAAAAATTTTTATTTTGAAGTTCTCAACTAGCCATCTCAATTTCTGTTTGTGTTACTGTATAAAACAATGCACATGTGGTAATTTCGAATGGATTTGGTTTTCAATTTCGAAGAAACTTTATTTCTCACAGTAGTTAGTTCAGTTGAGTGCCAGCTAGTTCCTTATTTCCATTGCAGTCTGGTGCTATAAAAACTGACAATGACCTTTTAAGATGTCAATTTCTATTCTGACTAACACACTCTGCCATTAACACTTACAATGCTTCGTTTGTCGTCAGACGTCGTAGAGAATTTTTTGGATCGTTCTGATTCACTGGTAATTAAAATTCATGGATGTTTAATCTGATAACTTTTCCGTCATTCGCACATGGGTGGGCTCGTCTATCAAGGCTTAAAAAGCTATGATTTTTAGATGTGTCTTATCTCGTCTTGTGTTGTCGCCGGGCATTTTTCCATTATTGCTTTGAAGGACGGAACTTTTAGAGGCAAAAGGATCGTCAAATAGATTCGTGTTTCTGGTTTGTTTCCTTGCTGCGACCCCCACGCTACCTTCCTCCTCCTATCCGTCGGGTCAATTGTTTCCTTTTTCATTAGATTTCTTCGGTGGACATGAGAGAATCCTATCGAAATGTTGATATCAAATTTACTGATCGCCAGCTATTGGAAATGCGTTCTTTCCGGCGTGGACCTGCGCTGCCTCCAATGGCTGCGGCATCGAAACCGTGTTCTGGGCTCATTTAAGCGAGTGTAACTTCTTTCTTTCCACATTCAAACTGAAAAAGAATTCAGCTTTTTTAGATTTTTTGCTTGTTATTTTTTAACCCCTGTTGAATGTGATCTATTTATAACTAGCCCCTTAATTCGTTTTGACCTAGTTTATGTGATTTTTGTATCTCAATAGTAAGCTTTTTTTCTTATCATATATTTCATGTATCAAGGTTTCTCGATGCATTCTAGATTCATGTTATCCTAGATTGCTTATCGTGTTTTTTTTTGCAGTTTCAACTTCTTAATGAAGCGAAATCCCTTGTTAACTCATGCGGAATCCACTATTCTACATTCTCAATTATGTTAACAAACCTGCGCCTAATTTGCAATCTCTTTCTTATCTTATTGGTCACTTATTAAATAATTACTGCAGTGCTAGCTTTACATGACGAGTTGGGCGACTATCATCAATTGTTGAAATGATGAACTGCGAGCTGCAAGATTTAAGTCGAAATGAATAATGAACTGCGTCTTAATTACCACTAAAATCTTCCGCCTGCGGTTAATGTCAATTCTTCTCCTACTATTTTGGTACTTTTCGCTCATATTCCAAGTTGAAAGCTCATAAAGGAAGGGGTCGAATAATGTCGAAAACTCATTTCTGCCACATTCAAGAATCATTGACACTGCGAGCGCGGTTATTCCTCAAGTTTCTAACCTACAACCTAACAAAATTTAGAGTCGCCCCAGCTTCTGGTAACCCAAATCAGAAGCTGCCGCGTCTGTAAATTTTCACTGGGCACATGCGCTCTCAGCAGCAAAGGAAGCCTTGTTCGAGCTTGCAACAAAGATCAAATCAAGTGCTCTCCGAGCCGTTGTCGTTTGTTGCTGTCGTGTGGTCGTAATCGCGTCGCTATGATCGTCGCCACAACCAAGAGAAGCTCTGCCTTCTGCCACGCCACAATGCCGCTGTCCATCACAATCTTAGGCCGACTTCAGCGGCGTTTCTGGCTGCCTACAAAACACCTTAAAGTGACGTCGT